AATTGAATATCAATTCAATAAAAATTTAATTAAACAACAGTAAGCAAAATAATTGTAACAATAAATAATCAAACGATACGCCATAACGTGTGCATGCTGTGCTGTCACGGAATCCGTCCGTCTGTTGCAACTGAATATGTTTGCCTCCCCGCACGACATTCCCTTACGTATGGCGCTGCCTGAGCAACAATCGGTAAGTATGTTATGCTGGCCTTTCACCACGATATGGCAAGCATTGTAGCGTATGCCATCGATATGATAAGAAAAAGGATAATCACAGATCGAAATTTAAAATTCGGCTTTCGTCTCGGCTTGTACAATCGTATTTAAGAGGGAGCATGCCAAAAAAGTTTTGACGTTGGCTCCGCCCAAATTTGTGAAACAAATATATGCCTGAAGTTCGCATAACATGCGACAGGAGATGCTGAATAACTCTAAAATTAAAGGGATTAAAAAAAATCCGTAGTGACAGTTCTCGATCATGCATAAATATAATTAATTATCTAATTTTTGTCCTAATAACCTGTAGCATTTCGAGGATGAATCGAAAAAATGTGAAAATTAGAGGTCATTTCGTGATTTTTATCTATCGAGGAAACTTTATTGTTTTATGTTTCTGATTAGTGTCTATGCTTGAATATATCGTGTAGTTACTCATACAATATTTTATTTTTAACTTTAAAGTGGATATACCCCTCTAAAATCAAATCGAAGATTAGGAATTTTTCCTCTGCTCCCTCTTAACCTATGGGCTAGATACACCAATGTAGCTTACAATGCCCTCCGAGTACTGCACAACAATGCTTTTAGGGTATTGTTCGGTTTGCCTCGACACAGTGCGTCGGGGATGATCGCATTGGCACGCCTTGATTGTTTTTACACAACAATGCATAAAAGATGTGTCTCACTAGTGCTCAGGGTGAGGGGCAGCACCAACAGTATCTTAAAAATGATTTCCAACAGGCTTGACTGCCCCTTACATCAATCACTGCTCTGCGATTTCTAATGCTAATGGCATCGCAGAGCTGTGATTGAATGTTTTAGTTAAGACTACAGTACAAAAGTAACTAAATTCAAATTATCTGAAATAAATAAAGAATTATTATTAGATAGATAAATAGATTACTTGTTTATTTGCTGAATCACAGTACATTACAAACAAGCTTGTGACATAGGTACAATGGTAATCATAAAGAAAAAGGCTAGTCTAGGTTTGCGGGTATGGTCTGGAGTGTTATATTGTATCAGGTGTACAGTTGAGGGTACTGTGTCAGCAAAAAGGGCCCGATTGAGCATTATGCCGCAGTCCAGTCGAATTACGACGATGATTCTGCCAGGTTCTGAGGTGAGGCGGTAAAAAAGAAGTAACTAAGAATAGAGAATCAACACGGAATTAGAATGTAAGGAATGTGGTTATAATATTAATTGTATAGGTGAATAAGTTATAAAATAAGCTATAAAACGTGGACAAGGTAACTGGAAAGAAAATAAAAAAAAGTGAAAGATGTAAATGTGTGAGTAAGTTGTGTGGATGTATAATAATTGTAAATGAATGTGTATTTTGCTTAGAGGTGTGTATTTGTGTGTAGGTATGTAAAAAATAAGTGGAGTGTATGTGTGATTTATATATAACTATAAAACAAAGTATTTATGATTAAGGGTAATTTGTGAACTTTTGATATTTGTGTCAGACACGCGTCAAAATATTCTGTAGATTTTTTTATTGTTATTATTATGTCAGTTGACGAACGAGTGATTGGAAATTATGCAATTTAAGTGGATCCTTGTAAATAAACCCGCATGTGATCATACGTGAAAAGTACTTTTATCACATTAAAAGTCATAAAAATAACACGGAGTATATGAAACAAATCATGTAGTATGTGAAATATATAACTCCCGTCTAAGCATGGAATAGAATAGTAGAATCTTTAAGAGTCGAAAGAACCTCAAATGGCTTTAGTTGATACAGCATAGCAGTGAAAGTGTTGAATTAATCACCTTGGAAAAAATATATAGTAAAATTGAGGATATGTACTCTGATAAGTATACGGTGTGAAAACATGATTTTTAAAAATTTTTACGATAGAACAAAAAACACTAACTTCATTTGAAATTTTACAAGAAAACCATGTGTTCAATATGTACTTTATATATACCATTTTTTTTTATATTAACTGTACTACATAGAACACGTATTGTATACGATATCTTATACTTTTCAAATGGGTTTAACTTTGTTTATAAAAAAAATAATTCTGAAATAAAGCCAGTGCTGGCCCTTGCAGTCACTGCCACTCGGCCTATGCAATAGAACCGATTCCGAACCGAAAAATTTGAATTCGCTGAGGTAGTAACTTTTAAGCCTCTCTGAAAAGTTGTCATTTTAAGGATGTGGCTTTTTGCCAATTATCTTCTTTATTAACTGTTTCTATTACATCTTCCGGTTTTGAAACTTAATGATCTACGGCCTAAATCTTATACCCATAATAAACCTTATATTTCCACATTGTCTCCTCGGAAGTCCGTATCTTAACCCCACAAGTCGATTATGTTAACACTTACCAGTTCGTTTTTCAGGGTCCCTGAACAGAACATCAGCAAGTCGCGCAGGGGGCGACCGTCCCTTGCTATTGACTGCCACCGCCGCCAGTCTGAACCTGACGTCCCATTCCAGACCTCGCACTGTCCAGGTAGGCTCTTCCGACGATAGGTTAAATCTGAGAAAGAAAAGAGTGATATTTTAAACGGTTACCTATTACAAGCTAGAAACATGATTTACAGAATTTTGTTTGAATGCGTACAAATGTTGTCTACAAAGAGCAACCCCTAGAGCAACCCCTAAACGATACCCAACTTGCCATTATTCGAAAAATCGTGCCCGCCATCTTGGATTTAGAAATGAGTGCCATATTCGTAATGAGCACCTCGAATACCTCGAAAATGATTCCCATATTGCATTTATTTGAAAAGTCGTGTCCGTCATCGTGTATTCAGATATAAATGCCATTTCCACATGGATTACCAAAAATAAATTTTTGAAAATTCTTGTCATTTGACATTGTCGATCGACAGTTACGATCGACAAAACCGAGCATATCTGCAGACACCCGATCGACATTGTGGATCGAGAGCAACGATCGACAAAATCGAGCAAATTTGTAGGCACCTGATCGACAATGTCGGGCAAATCTGTACGCATCTTTAATATAATGATGAGTTAAGCAAGATACAATTTCCCCACTTTTGAGGGAAATGTTATTCCATGGCATCATTATTTGTATATTTGTGTGCGTGCCGACGAGCGTAAATACAAGTTGCTTACGCCTACATGAATTTGATTTTTGCCTCACTTGTGACAGTTCGTTTGATATGAAACTATCATTCTATGCGTTATTATTCTATGTATAGGAGCATTAAAAATAGAAGTAATCGAATACTTACAAATTGACTCTTTAAGTTTAATGTTACGTGCCTTTATTGGTTACTCTACATATCAACTGGTTACTTTTTTGTTATTACAACTCACAACTTTAATTTTTACAAAAGTTCATGGGTACATTTAAATTAAGTACGTATTTTAAACATATCAAATTAAGTATAAATAGATGTATTTTTCGTACGAAACAAAATGTCTCAACTACCTACATTTACTGTGTCCGGACGATAAATATAAATAAAGTGACTATTGTTCACGCGCTGGGAATTCAAGTGTCTTTTCACACTCGGCGATTTTATTTCATTACTTCTACAAAACGTCACGACACGGAAGAAACAAACAATGGAAGTGGGTTAAGCGTCGATTACTATCAGATGATATCAGATGACGATGTCGCCATAACTCACACATTCTTAATTTGAAATAGGTAGGTACTACAAAATCTCGACAGCGATTGGTTGTAGTTTCAAATTTAAAAATAAATAACAAATTCTAGATTGTTATTATAATTTAAACTTTACTCTGTTAGCATTGAAAGTTCAATACCATCAATACCTATTATTGCAAGTTACGACGTTTTCACATTATATTGACGTTTCAATCAATGTGCTGCCATCTAGAGGTTGATTCTGAACGACGACGAATTGGAGTTATTAATTTAGTTCTCCAAAAACAAGCAACCATATTGCAGGGCTATAAGCTTTACTTTCGTTTCTTGTGACAAAAAAATGATTTCGATTAACAGAAAATTGAAAATTTATTAAAATAACACTTACCGATGATATGAAATACCACCATTGGTAATATTTCTGGTCAATCATCATTCGATCATTTTTGGATTCCAAAACAGCTCATTAATGCATTTTTAGGATTTTAGAGAATTTGCACGAAAGAACGATACAACCATACCGTACAAAGCCAAAATGGCGAATTGAGCTTAAAGTATGGACAATAGTCCATATAGTGGTCACGCGTGTGATGCCAACTAACCACTACTACTAGTATTTATTGTGATATGAGTCGCGACGACTATACTTGAAGTTTACGAGCATTAATTACAAGTAAAACAGGTACTTAGTAACAAGCTCGTGAACTTTTTTAATATGTATAACGCGACAGATAAAAAGGAACAATATTAAAAGAGTATTGTTTTCAGCAATCTACCACACGACGTGTTGTGACAACAATCGGCTAGTGTAAACAAACTCTAAACTAAATTACTAAGCACAACACATTTAGATAAACACTGTACTTAGAGACCGCATGTTTGTGAACTTTGTGAACTGCAATTTCTTTTTATTTACTCGTAAAGGGTAGAAAGGCTATTTACTTAACTAGTGAAAGATAGTGGGCGACAGACAGAAACGAAACTTTAGGCTCTACTTACATTACAGCGGAACGGATTGGAACTAATTTTTGTAACAATATGTACATACCATAATTAATTTTAGGTCAATTACGTAACGCACAAATTAGACATTAGACGATAGTTGCGGGAATTCCCGTGGCTGAGCGAGAATTCTTCAAAAGAAGCGCAACAATTGACAAGTTCATCATGTTATGTAATAATATTTTGTTACAAAAATTCTCTCCCATTTCCTTCCGTGGCAATTTACATTCACATTCAGTGTTCTATAGAATTGCGAATGTAGCAGATTCTACTGATCTTTTACACTAAGACGAATTTTCAATTGAATCAATCACAACATGATTCATTCATTTAGTAGTAGTGGAGTTCCATCCATAAGAGTTGCAGTGCCACTCAGAGCTTAAATCGCAAAGATCTGAGGGGCACTGCCACTACGCATGTCATCCTGAGACATAAGTTAACAAATCCTGTAATTTCACCAGCACCCTTACCATTCAAAACCGGAACACGCTGACACTACTGCTCGGCGGCAGAAACAGGTAAGATGGCAGTACTTCCCTGGACGAACCCTTTCACAAGGAGCTCTAGTGCTTATACTTCAATGTCTCAAATTACATGTCCGGAAATATACTCCCTTGGTATAACGTATATCTCTTAACATCTAGCTACTCGCTTCCAGGAAAACCGTGTCTTTAATTTTTCAAAGCAACGTTAACAAAGTTAATATGTAACACCGTCCAAAAGGAAAAACCAGGTCAAGGATTCCATTAACCTATGAGCATGTATGAAGAAGATGCGTGTTGACGAGATGAAAGATGTATACCAGGATCTTAGCAGAAGTCTGTGGAATCTGCTTACTCCGATGGGAGTAGGGCATGAAATGTATATAAAGTATATCTAATAAACCAAGTATTACACGCAACATTTACTTAACCACATTCCGTTTACCACATTCGCAATGTGCAACGACCCTAACAGAGGTGATGAAAGTGCTTCTAAAAATAATAACCATTCTCGGCGAAAATGTCACACAGCCCGTCACACAAGTTGAACTTTTCCACAAAAAGTTCACAAGGGAACTCAATGGGAATATAATTAGAATGTAAACTGAGCAGTCGACTGTATCTAACTTTCGCCTTACCTTAGGAGGGTTATAATGAGTTTAATTGTTGTTTCAATTTGCTTTTAAAAGTTTTATGCGTGTAAAAGTTGATATTGTCGCCTTAATTTAACCGTTTATATTTTTTTAATATACGACGGCATTCTATTGGGGCACATGTATGATAGTGGACTCTATCTGACTGAAGACACACTGACGCAAAGCTTGTTATGGACCGGCGGCGTGTAGCTTACCATCAGGCGCACGACTTGTTCGTACTTGATATTATAAAAAAAAATTGAAAAAATGTGATGTGTATTGCCTGGTTAACAATTAAGTTTTTTTTTATAATACTAAGTGACGGGAGGATCAAGTCGTGCGCCTGGTGATAATAGACAGGCCTGTCCATAACAGTTACAACGCCACTCAGAGTTTTAAATCGCAAAGATCTGACGGATATTGCCACTGCGACTGTCGCCCTGAAATACAAGTGGACTAGTCCCATGTACCTGTAAATTCACCAGCATCCTTAACCTTCAAAACTGAAACGCAGTAACGGTTACATTACTGCTTGGCGGCAGAAATAGGTAAGGTGACAGTACTACCCTGGACGAACGAAAGTGTCTTTATAAGCGTAAAAAAATATGGTTCCATTTTGCGTGAACAAAATTTCCAGTATATTCAATTTAGTTTGATTGTTGTTCATTTATCGGCGTTTTTTGTTCAAAAATAGTAATAAAACGGTAGTCATCAAATATTTACTGTTTTTATTAAAATTTTATAGAAAACCTAATCAAAACAACGCAGTGATTGATTGGCATTATTTGTTTGCGATGCGAATAAACATGAGTTTCCGTTTTTATCTGAATTTGTGTTTTTAGTTTAAATTTAATTCTATAGCCATTTTAAACTACCAACATTGTTCGATCCTAATTTGGTAACTAACTAATCAAATTCAATAGCATTTCGGAGACACGTTATATTAACTAACAATAGTGGTGTATTTAATTTATTAGTATTAAATTAAACAGCTCCAAAATAATGCGGGCTTAAATCGACTCATCCGTAGAACAAAGACCTATGCGCAAGACTGCTTATTCTAAGAACATTATACATTTCGTTCGCTGTTCTTAGCTGTGGATATAAGATCGACCGTTGATCGATTCTATATTTTCCAAACGAAATAATACATAAAATTCTGAAAACACCTATAGGCCTTATTAACAGATTTCAAAAAAGGAAGAGGTTCTCAATTCGACTGTATGTGTTTTTGTATGTACGTTACGCGATAACTCCGGTACTTGTGAACCGATTTTCATGATTCCTTTTTTGTTGGAAAGGGGGTACTTCCATAGTGGTCCCATTTCATTTTGAAGAAAATCATCCACCTCTCACGCATGAAGATTCATTTTTATAAATAGCGCCTAAATTTTACTTAAAGTGCAATTATTTTAATGGTTGATTTTGCTATTTCTCCAATTCAAGGCGTTTCTCTCTCAATATACTTTGAGTAGTGAGAACCGACTCATTATGTCAAGTCCTGTATAGTGGCGAATTTAAGGATATTTCAATAAAATTTAGAAAATAGACGTAATTCCACGTACTTTTGAGGTCGGTTTTTTTTACTAAAAAAACCGACCTCAACCTCTCGATCGAATCGACCTCTGTACTGTTTTGAATAACGAGATTGTATGTATTTATCCTCTTTTCGTTGTATAATCACATCGGACTCTGTTCTTCGATGAGTCGAAATATTCGATCAAAAGGAGCCCACATTTATGCTTAAGTTTCAAGACAGTAAACATTGAATAAA